CGAGCGGCTGTTCATCGGTCCCGTTAGTTAATCTGTCTGGTGTTTGGTTGTTTTTCTGATCCCAGATTGTCAATGTTTGGTACTCGGTGAATGGAGAGAGGCTTGGCACCTACAACGGCCACACAGGAGCCGTCTGGTGTGTGGACGCAGACTGTATCCTTTGATCGCAGAAACCAGTTTGTCTGTCCCATATGTTTTCTTTATAGTGATTCACTTGAGCTGATCCCTCCCAGCTGCTGCACTGTTTCCTCTTGAAGAGGATAGCCTGTTTAACTCTTCTGCTGTCTTTCCCTTATTCCATCTTTTTGGGTATTTTTCTTCCCAGGCTGATGTTTGGGATAAAGTGTGCAGCATGCCCTGTCTGCTGTCGTTTGCACACCATTGCTTTTGCTGTGGTGGCCCTGGGAGCTCAGGGAAGGTGTCTTGAGTTGCACAAGGTCTTCCATCTCCAATGCGGGCAGCAGATAGCAGAGACAAAAATGTGCAAAGGTTGTGTTAATGCAAGAGCTGAAACCTTTCTCTTTAATATTTCAAGAGGAAAGTTGTGGGTTTTGTAACGGGAATACTTGGACTCTGTGTCTGTCTGTAGTGGGGTATTGCTGGTCCTGGAATGGAATTTGTCTAATCTCTGTGTAATATGGCTTTTTAATCTTGTGTATAAATATTCTCTGGGAATTTAGACAGTAGCTTCAGGGCCAAGAATGTGCTGATATTCCCTAACTGGTGACCTAGGGGACACACGACATGTGCTCACCGGCTCTGCAGATAACAGCTGTCGGCTCTGGGACTGTGAAACGGGTAAAGGCTCTTCTCTTCCCATGTAGCTGCCTCCAAGTCAGCTCTGTCCTGCCAGGAAGTCTGCTAAGCTTGGAGTGTGTAGTGGCAGTGTAATGTGTGATTGTTCATCCCTTTGAAAGAGGTCTGGATCTGAACTCAGACTGCTGGAGGGGCGGGTTTGTGTATGTGCCTGGTTTCTAGTGAATATTTAGTGAATTTACTTACTTTACTGCCCAAGTAGTCAAAGCTTGCAGTTAGAGCTTGCAGGTCACCAAACCTGCTTGTCAGCTACCCCTGATGCTCTCATCCTCCCTCTGACTCTCCTGTTCAGCTGCTCATTTTCACTAACCTTGCAATAAAATACCCGGTGAAGTGACAGTTTCTGCTCTGTGTTCAGGAAAGCAGCTCGCCTTGGTGAAGACCAGCTCAGCAGTGAGGACGTGTGGCTTTGACTTCGGAGGAAACATCATCATGTTTTCCACAGACAAGCAGATGGGATATCAGTGTTTTGTGAGCTTCTTTGACCTCCGGGACCCCAGCCAGATCGGTGAGGAATCCGGGCCAGTGCCTGTACCAGGGAATAACGGGAAGCCTTGATCGCCGGAGCTGGTGCCACTGTGTCTGTCTGTCTCCTTCCTTCCTGCAGAGAACAACGAGCCTTACATGAAAATCCCCTGCAGTGATTCTAAAATCACTAGTGCTGTGTGGGGCCCTCTGGGAGAGTTCATCATTGCTGGACATGAGAGCGGAGAGCTGAACCAGTTCAGTGCCAAGGTCAGTCTGATAAGGAACAGCATCTCCCTCAGGCAGCAGTGTCTGGGGAAGGATATCGCAGCGTTCCTGTTGTGGTCATGAGACAGAAGATGGGCTTTTTGGCTCAAACCAGCAGTTTCATGGAAAGATAGTTAAAATATGTGGCTCCCTTAAGCAAGGCTGATGTACCAACATCTGCCCTGCTGCTGACAGCGACATCTAAATTGTTTTTAATGGAGAAGCCGCGTGTACGCTCATATCGCTTGCCAGCACACTGAAACTGCCTTCTTTACCCTTCAGTCAGGAGAGCAGCTTTCAAACATCAAGGAGCACACCAAGCAAATCAACGATATTCAGACCTCCAGGGACATGACCATGTTCATCACTGCCTCCAAGGACAACACAGCCAAGGTGAGGCTTCCTGTTGGAAGTGTGGTGGACTGTTGATGTTTGCTTGCAGGGCCTCTGCTGAGGGCCGTGGTACCGCAGAGGTCTGCTCCTCAGGAATTTGAGTAGGTGTAAAGTCAAAGCTCAGAGGAGCTGAGCTTTCTGAGGAGAAAGCTCAGCGAGAAAGGGGAAATTAAGGGCCAGTCATTGGAAGCAACATTGCCAAAACTAAGGCTGCAGTTTGCTACCTCTGGAAGGTGATAGAGGTGAGATTTACCTTAGGCCAGTATTTTGGGATTCTGGAGAAATGTTTTTGGGATTTGGGTGCCCATGAGCGACTGTAGAGCTAACGTCTGCCCAGGTGAGGGCTAGCAGCCAGATTTGTGTGAGTTAATTGGGCTGCCAGCCCTCTTGCAAAATAACTCTCTCCCTTTTGCGTCCTAGCTATTTGATTGCACGACACTCGAGCATTTGAAGACATTCCGGACGGAGCGACCGGTGAACTCTGCCGCACTCTCCCCCATTTTTGATCATGTAAGAATGAGCCCGCTCATTGTAACGGTGTTACTGTGACTTCTGCGTTGTCCCGAGTAGCTGGAAGGCAGAGTGTTGCCAGTCCAGCTGAAAAACATGACTGTGGGATGGGTCTGGGGAACTTTGCCGCTGTCTGGTGCAGGGAACAAGGCTTTGTGTCCTCTGATCTTCAAACGAGTGTGTCTGGGAGGTGGGAACTTCTCTGGGGCTGGAGTGAGACCTGCTCATGAGTTTGTGGGATCTGCTGTGTTAGTAGGAGGCTTCCCCAAGGCTCGGCTCCCTCCTCTCCTGGCTGAACGGGGTGTAAGCGGAACTGAAGTGTTGTGGCTTCTCTCCTTTGCAGGTTGTGCTCGGTGGTGGGCAAGAGGCCATGGATGTGACCACGACGTCCACCAGGATTGGCAAATTTGAGGCCAGGTTGGTCCTTTTCCTCTGGCAGGGTTGAGTCCTCATCTGGAGGACTCCTCACAGCCCAAGGGTGCTGTTCCCAGAGCATCTTTCTCCTGGAAGTGTTGGAGGAGTCATTAAACTTGCAGAGCTTTTTTGAGGAAACCCTGGTTGTGTCCGTAACCAGGCTCCTGACTTCTTGTGATAATTTAAATCTTCCTTCTCCCAGGTTCTTCCACTTGGCTTTTGAAGAAGAGTTTGGCAGAGTGAAGGGTCACTTTGGTCCGATAAATAGTGTCGCTTTTCACCCTGATGGGAAGAGGTGAGGATCTCTGTGGGTCTTTCAGTGTGTCCCAGTCAAGCGTAGACCACCTTTTGGTAGGATATGGCTGGGCTCACAGGAGCTCTGCAGTGGGAATGGAGCCGGCACCTTCCTTAATCCTCCCATTCCGGCCCTGCTGCCTCCCCCGAGACTGGCCAGGGGGTTCACACTTTTGCCTTATCGCACGTTTTGACTGCATCAGTGATTTTTTTTTTTGTCTTGTGACTCCTTTACTAGTTTCTGGAGGGGGTTGTGAGAACAGACTTCACCGCTGTTTGGTATAAATCTAGACGCTGTGAGCTCCTGACAACATCAATGACTTTATCTTGTCTTTCTTCTCCTACAGTTACAGCAGCGGGGGTGAGGATGGCTACGTTCGCATCCATTACTTTGATCCCCAGTACTTTGAGTTTGAATTTGAAGCTTAAAGGAGGACTTCCTCTCCTCTTCCAATCCGTTGGCTCCTGCGCAGAACTGTTTTAAGGCCTGACGTTAGTCTGCTCCGCAGGAGGCGGCGGGAAGCAGTTAGCAGCAAACACGGGGGGCTGTGTGAAGATGGGGAACTGGAAACCCCGCCGTCTCGAAAGGGCAGGACTGGCTTTCGCAGGAGGTAGTGGAGGCGAGGAGGGGAGGTGGGTTGCCTGCCTGCCTGCCCCTGGGGATGCTAGCTTCCTGCCCTGCTGGGCATATTTATACATCAGGGGAGAGAAAAAAAAAAATTATCAGGAAATAAATAGAAATCTTTTATAAACATAAGGAAAAGCACCTCTGTGTTGGGTTTTTTCTTTTTTTAGTCTGAAACAAAATTAACCTGAGTGCTTTGCTTTTCTGGCTCTCCTGGCAGTGCTTTGCTCCCACCCATGGGCAGACAGCAGTGCTGTTACTCCTGGGGCCTCTGTCCGCCCCGGGTTAACTCTTGCCCGGGGAGGATCTGCAGCTACGGTTCAGGCCCGGCCCTGAAGTGTGAACAGGCTGGAAGTGCAGCAGCCGGTCATTGTTTTCCAGATGACACACGCGCGCCCAGTTCTGCTGCTTTGTTTATTTGCTGGACTGACCCTGAGCCAACTTTCCTCATGGAACAGTTATTTCCTGCACTAGGACGCTTGTGTTGCAAATCCTCATCCTTCCAGCCCTCTCGCCCCGTGTCTGTCTGTCTGGATGGGGCGGTTTGTATCCCTTTCCTTCCTCGAAACTGGGTTCAAGGGTAGATTTCCTGAGCTGGCTCCCAGCTTGGAGCGACTGACGCAACACTCGCAGCCAGCGTGCCCTTTGTGGAGAGGGTGTTGCTGGTTCAATGTGTTCTGCTGCTTAGTTTTTTTCTGTGCTCACCGTGCCGGGCAGGGGCTGTGAGCCAGGCACGCCGCGGTGGGAGCTGCCGGAGGCCGGTGCTACTGGGCACATCATACTCCCGCTGCCCCCTGCCCTTCTGCTCTGCCGGCAACCCGGGTACGAGCGCCGCTGAAATCCTGCGGGGGAAGAGAGCGGGAAGGAGCCCCGCTCGTGAGGGAGCAGGGCTGCTCCTGCCCCTACATAAGAGCGGAAAAGCAGGCGTGGGCTGCGATACCACTTTACTGAAACAAGCTCAGTCTGTGCTGCCCAGAGGCTGCGAAAAAGAGTCTGTTCCCCCCTCCCAGAGCTGTCCTGCGGGCTCCGTGGGGCCTGTGTCCTGCACAGCGCTTCCCGCGGAAAGCTGCAGCGTCACCTTGGCCCGGCAGTCTGTGGGGACCAAATTGCCCCACGCTGCCGTTCATCTTTCGTTCTCCGTCCGGGCAGCGGGGGCGGAGAGGGACTGGCTCAGCCTCTTCCCTGCGCTCTCCTTGACGGAGGGCTCGTTGCCTTCTGCTAACCGCTGGATCTCTGTCCAGGCCTCGTCCAGGTACTGGGATGAACGGACCCATCGGAAGAATAAACCTAGGAGAGAAGGGGCTGTGTGTTACTTCAGCCGTGCCGTAGCTCTGTCAAGAGAGGGAAAAGCAGAGCAGCTTTCCCTCACCCAGCCCAGCTCGGAGCTGAAGATGGGTTTTGAGAGCGCTGAACACAGCATACCCTGCCAGAGCTGGATGCTCTGTGGCTCAACGGAGGGCCAGATGACCAGCGCGTTGTGCGAGTAGAGAGGGTTCAGGTACTTCTTTCTCTCCCCAGGCTGGTTCAGCCAAGCCCAGAGGGAGTGCGTGTTCTCCTTCACTTTACACAGGCACCTACGGGAGAGTCGAGGCACTTTTCACTCCCTGCCAGGTGTCGTGGGGCCAAGTTTGACCCAAGCTGTGACCAGGAGGGCTTCGCTCTGCCCCGTCTGGCAGCGTGAAGGCAGGGTTAAGCCCTCCTGCCCAACTCGCCTCTCTTTCTCATTGTTGCAGAGGAAGGTGCCATAGACGGAGGCGTAGGCGTTGTCGAAGAGGGTGAGGAGGAGGCGCTCGCTGAACTCCAGGGAGAAGGGGAACTGGCGGCTCAGCTGCCACACACAGTCGAGGAAGAGGAGGAAAAGCGGCGCCTCCTGCTTCAGCCGGGCATGGGAGTAGGCAGAGCGGGAACAGCGGAGGTGGAAGGGATGGCCGGCCTGCGGGACCCCGAGGGGCAACAACAGGGGTGAAGGGGAGCTGCGAGTGCCCAGCTGGGCTCGGGTCCTCATCCCCCTCGGGACCGCCGGTCTCACCTCGATCCACTCCCGCTCCAGCAGCCCCTGGAAGCCCACCAGCGTGCGGCAGGATGGGTCCAGGATCACCTGGGCCAGCGCCGTCACCAGC